CCCTTGGGAATTTTCTGAGAAAATCTCAATTCCTTGTTTGAGGGATTCCCTGCTAATGGAGATATTACTGTACAGTACAGCATTATCCAAGTCCACAAATTAATTTACATAAGTAATTATATGAGTTATGAAAGTTTTGTTCATTTACAGTGTAAATTAAAAAAAATTGGCAGGAAGATTTGGGGAATAAAAATAATTGTTATGTTAGGCTATTTATTAGCTTCATTATTTCTTATCAAGAAAATAATTTTTATAACTTGAGAATTCAGTTGTCCATATTTGTATATACAGTACTGTACAAGTATTCTATCCTTGGACTTTCAATGAGGTAATGTTCTTGAAAATCTTGTCGTAAATTGAATTAACTTAAATGAAATCATAAAGCTCCATTGAATACCATTATCTCCTTCAACAAATGTGTAATAAAATGTCCTTTTGTGACACAAATATTTCATAGCATAAAAGCTTAAAACACTATACAAAGGCAATAATTTAATGAATAACAATATTTTAATTTGTTTAATAGTTGCCACAGTCGACTGAAATAGTCCAAAAACTCTACCAATGACCTATGTCTTTTTGCCAGTCTTAATGTGCCTTTTTGCTTCCAATGCAACATCTAAAGTTAAGGCTTTAAACACCACTAGGGGTGTAGCTGCTGCTTATTTTACTTTCTGGCTATTCCTGACATCTCTTAAAGGGTAAATTGTTGGACAGTTCTGTCAGAGCACGGAGCCAAATTTGAATGATTCTATTGGCTTGTAAATAACATCATTAAAATCAGTGATGGATGAAGTACTGAAAAAAGTTACCAGTGTTTGAGTGAAAGAACTGTTACTCTGAGAAAACTTAAACAAGTAAAAGTAGAAGTAATCTTTCTTCCTGTTACTTAAGTAAAAATACAGTACTGTAAATACTGTAGTAATACATTTATAAAGTACTGTATTTAAGTACTCACAGTAAAAATATCATTACTGTACAATAAAAGAGAATTTAAAGATTAAGATAATAATATAGAGCCAATACTGTACTTAACAAGCTAGGTAATTCTGATTCACCGGTGCATCTACACTTATATATTTATTGCGCATTTTGAAGGAGAGTTGTTGTAAGACACCATTTCTCTTAATTTGGGTAGACAAAAATGCCACTTCATTTTAATAGATGTTCCCACAGTTATAGCCAAGGGGACTTGTCTTTGGCCTTGCTGCTGAAGAGTCATTCCATTAACAAAAGTTTAATATGTGGCAAGAAGCGATGGTATGCTTTGACTGGCTGAGAACACAGCATGTGATCATTGCTGAGTACTGATTGCCTGGTGAAAATATCATACTCACTGCTGAGATGCCAAGAACCAAGTACAGGTACTGTAATAAGGTAATGGGAGGCCTGAAGAAAGAGTACAGTACTAATAATTGACTGAAATATTAATTAAAATAAAAGAAAAGTTGCTTTCAAGTTACTTACTTAATCAAAAGAGTAATTTTAGCTCAATAACGAAGTAACTTTATTTTGTTACCGTCCACCTCTGATTACAAAACTGTACGCGCTAGGCATCAGACGCCTTGGAACTTACATAATTTTTTTTTTAGATGTAATGAGTAGTTACTCTATACAGTACAATATTTTCTCGATTTAATAAACTAATTCGATCCACCCCTTTCCGTTAAATCAAAATTTCCACTAAATTGAATTTCCGTTATTTTTGCTCGATTTAGCAAACCAGTTCGTTAAATCGAGCGTGATTCCATTAAATTTTGCACCAAATGCGCCACTTGGTGCGTGGGGTTTGTTTACATCCGCTCAGTCTGTGTCCTGCCGCCACCCCGTGTGTTGTTCACTGCTACCTCTCGGTCAAGTAACTACTGTGCTCAGACATCGTGCCGAAAGTCTCTCAGAAGTCTCAGAAAGGAAGTGGTGTGGGGGAGAAAGTCAAAAGAGTGCGGCTATCAATTGGAAAAAGTTTGGAAATTATAGAAATATTTAAAACAAACACCAGATCCTTTATAAGTAAGCCATGAATAATGATTCAAATGTTTCTATGTACATACCATGTGTCTGAGGTTTCTCCGTAAGTGTGAGCGTATTAACGGAATTAATATCGATTTAGCTAACTAGTTCACTAAATCGAGTGAAAATTAACGGAAAAAATTCCTTCCACTAAATCGAGAGTTCATTATATCAGATTAGGTTAAATCGAGAGTACAGTATACATGTTTTTACTCCTCCAAAAGCATCATCGAAAAAAATATATATAAATAGAAATAAAAATAGAAATTATTTACAATTATAAAATGAAAATATCATAAATTGAGAGATACGTGTACAGTACTGTGTATGGAAATCTATGATAAACCAAATTTAAAAGAAATTTTATTAAACAGTTTTGAAGCGCTGTAGTATTTGCTCGCAATTAATTTTTAGTAGTGCTTAAGGTTTTAATAAAGTTTACAAACTTGAAAAAATATTGTGGCAGCCACATATTTAGCCACAGGTTTTAACATAACCCAAATTCTGACAGCTACACATTAAAGCCACGTCACTACTCCCAGAAGTACTGCACAGGTTAGTGACAAATATTTGCACGTAATAAAATAAATATTGCAACAATTCTAATAAATAATCATTGTCTTTGAGCTTTCACGTATAAAATATATTTCATAGGTAAACTTAGGTATTTGTTCTCTATATGGCTGATATTCAAATGCAATAATGACAATAGGTTGGATATGTTAGTATGAAATTGACCATGTCTGTAGGTGTTTGATATCCGCTTTAAGGCTTGTTTATAAGTAGCAACATACTATAATGAAGATAGGTAGGGTAATGAGTACTAAGCTATAGTTCACCAACTAACTGATAAAATCATATAAGTCAGACAAAACAGTAATATTCATTCTTATCACCATTTACAAGTTGCCAAGTGGAGTAATTAGTAAAAATTCTGCCAATTAGGAATGTAGCCCATAGCATGTTACCCTCACTAGGCAGTGTATACACAGTAAAAAAAAAATATTGTGCAGGGGGGGGTCTGCTGACTTCAGTAATGATCCATACATCACCTGATGTGCTGGAAGGGTTGGTATGCATGCCTGTATGGCAAAGGTTTCCACCTACCTATGGTAGGGCAACAGATATGTGAGGACACCCTCAGGCAAGGAAGCAGGGCTACCACCATAAAACAGGAGCAACACGCATATTCCACTACCCCTCCTCCGTGGTGTCATATTGCTTTGCGCATAATCCGTGCGGTACTTTTTTTTTTTACTGTGTGTACACCAGGAAATCAGTCAGTTATAAGAATTAAGATACAGTACACACATACTCCTCTATCAGTTTACTTTTATTTCCATCTGAATGGGTGGGTCAGGTGCACCAGGTGTGTGAAAGATCAGGCGTATTAAGTGGAATAGAGTGGTGCATCATACAGGAGATGGATGAGGTGGGTGGTCTCCCACACAGGTGCAACATAGTGAGTGTAGGTGTTGTGCATCCTACATGGGATGCTGTACCGTAGATCAGGTGCACTGTGTAGGTAACATGCACCACTCCTTTCAAAAAGAAACATGAAAATGTACATTTGGTTGCATAAATGATATGATAGATCTAGTAAATTCAATTAAAAAAAAAAGGATTATTTTACATAAATACTCTATCTATGGAGATGCTAAATGTAGCCCTACATTATTGGTGTTCTAAAGTTCAAGTGTGGAGCACACTTTGAGTATAATAAGAATTCTCAGATGTTGCAGGGATGGCCATCTGTTTTTAGAACAATTCAGTAAATCTTGACTCGCCTGATTCAGTACAGCCATACCCCGGGATACAGAAGATTTCCGTTCCTGAAAGTCTTTCCGTAATGTGAAACAATTTTTCCCGTATACAGTACAGTACTTACATTATAAAAGATGAGATGTATTCTTACCGAAATTTTTTAATCCAAAAAACGTGACACAGGCACCATAAAGGTATGAAATTAGACAGCTTTAACCACATACAGTGAGTCATTCATGATGTAACATGATAATAAATGAAAAAACATTTGAATTTTGCTTTACATAATCGGTTTTGAGTGCTGCTGGAGGTGGTGTGGTGAGGTGGGATCAGCGTTACTGGGGATTACCTCTTTAAAACATCAAGTTTAATGTGCAATGCCATTGTTGTTGTGGACTTGTTATCAGCTGATGCAGTGAGCCACCCGGCATCCATCCTGTAGCTACCACCATGATCCACACGAAATAAATTTAATAATCTCGGGGAAATTTTTTCTTCTATATCACGATTTTTTTTTTCTATCTTATTAAATTAACCATTATTACGTAAGGGCGACAACAGTCCTGAACACAGACGCACAACTGAACACAAGCTGGGGAAAGAATTATAACTGGGCAGTGCCATTGTTGTGGTGGTTGCTGGCAACTAGGGAGGGGGAGCTGCATTCCAACCAGCTTGTGGGTACCACAAAGAATCCACACGAAAGAATTGTTACAATTTTGGTAAAAAATTGGATTAATTTTTATTTTTTATTTATTTATTTATTCATTTATTCATTTATTTTTTCAATTTACCAAAATACGGAGGGGAATTTTTTTTTTTTTTTTTAACCTGAAATTATGGTCATAATTTTAAAATTCCATAAGGGCGAAATTTTGTAACCAGAGATTCTGTAACCCAGGGGATGCCTGTACAGTACAGGTACTGTACAATAAACAGGTAGTATTCTGAATCTCGTGTAGTAAATTATCTTTGTACGGTACACATGCTTATATAGAACACTTTAATTGTGTATATGACTCTGTGGGCTACAGTCTGTGTGTGTGTGTGTGTAGTAGATTTTTCTTTCATTAACAAAACCAGAAGCGGCATAATTACTTATATTAGTGTAGTGCCTGTAGCTGAAAGGTAAAAGAGTGTGTTTGTAACCAATGGCCAGAGAGGTTTGAGATGCCTTCTTGTACATTAACCTTTCAACACTCAGCAGTAAATAGGGACTTTTTCAGGTGGTCTTCCTGACGATGGACCAACCTTTCAGTGGCTTAGCATTCTGTGAAGGGTGTAAGGTAATCCAGTAATTGCTGGATGAGAGGATCAGCAGCTGCTTGGTCACCCTGTACCATAACAGAACACTCCTTTATGACAGGTAAAATGCTGCTTCATGTTATGGATCTTCATGAAGAGCTGAATATGATTTTTATTTTTAACACCTGTATACGTATGTCTAATTGAGACATTGGATTTGGAATATACCTGTATAGACTTTTAGTCTCAGGATAGCCAAGAGAAAAGTACTGTTCTGTACTGTACTGTACATTGATGGTTACAACATCAGTCTTTGATGTTGATACTTAGATCGTCATTATCCTGCCAGCTAAGAGGGTACTTGGAAGTCACCCAAATATAATGCCTAATTGACACTTTAAAAGTGGGTTGCTGAGAGGAATGGCTTCTGAGTGTATCATGCTTCAAATTTGTCTCATGGCAACAGGACACTATGTTATCGGGTAATCACTGCTAACCCATGCAAGCATGGAAATAGCTGTTAAATGGAGATGATGAAGATAGTGACTCTTAGATTGTTAAAAATACTTGTTTGGAATCCACACCATTGTTATGTAGATTAATGTTTTGAGAAAAATGCTTAAAATGGATTGGCTAACTATTGAGGGAGCTTGAGGTCTGATTAGTTTTAAGTTGTCATACTTGCATTTTGAGATATATTTTGCATTAAGTCTGTGGCATTGGGAAAGGTGTGTAAACATTAGTCCCCTGATGATGATGTGGAGGAGTTTTTGCTGAAAAGCGAACAACATAATTTATCTCGGTCAAGGTATTTATAATGAGTTTAAACATCGTGTTCTCATATTTTATTTACTTAAATATGGTAAGGTATTAGTACAGGAGTCCTTGGTTAATTATTCCTGAAACTGTGTTAATTACCTGGATATTCGTAAGCTGAAACAATGATACAAATACTTAATTGGTCTCCTGATGCAAGTGAAAACCACTTTTCTAAATAAAAATATTATTGATTACACAGTTATCAAAATATAAAAGAATACATTTATATTACTGTACAAATAATAATACAGTACTGTACAGTAAGTCCTCGATGTATGTGAGTTCAGCACATGCGAATTCACTCGTGTGAAGACCCTATTCTTACCATCAATTCAATAAAAGCGAGCAAAGTTCAGCCTTATGTGAGATGTCATACTCCCTGATAAAGATTTCATCTCTGATGACTCCGCAGATGTCACTCCAACGCCATCACCCACTATGTAAAACCTCTACCACCACCTCCATCATTTCATTTACACAAGTTCATCTACACAAATTGATGTATCTGCTTTTATTGTTAAGTACACTGTACTGTACACTTGCTTTATCTATTATTTTAAAAATAATATTGTATTGATTTGTTTTATGGTTTATTTGTCTTGAAAATGGGCCTGTAACATTTTCATTTTCAGTTATGGAACGCATCCTATTTTTTCCCTTTTAACTAAGCATTCAATATACTGTAGTGTACAGGGTATTCAATTTCAATTTATGCAAGGGTTTTCAGGAACGCATCCCTCGCATATATCGAGGACTTACATTTAAAATAAAATAAATTGAATAAATATTATTAATTGATTAAGATTATATAAAATTTTAATTTTCTCACGTTCAGTCGTCCAAATTCCCAAGTTTCGCCAATCGGTGGCAGTATGTTAAAAAAAATACTTGTATTTGTACTGGCAGAACAAAGATTGAAAGATTAAAATTGGCCATAAACTACAGTATAAAGTTATTCTGAGCAAGTGTTTGAATGGTGAAGATTTGGAAACCAAGGATTGCCTATACTGTACGTATATTCATATTTAGCACCACCGTTTAATATTTTAATGCCATTACAGTATTACTGTCGTCCGTAACTGCATTAACACAGAATTTTTTCTGAACTCTTGGAAACTGTATTCTGGAACCATTACGTATAAGCCAAGTACTAGTCATTGGTATGTACTTGAGATGTGGGCTACCATCCAAGTGGCTAAAAGGCCAATCAGTGGCAAAGTGGGTAAAGAAAAGTACAGTAAAGTAAAAATTTGGTGTTATTGTTGTTGTCATCATTATATGCTCAGCCAACATAAATATCCAGAACTACTCAGAATTGACACATACCTATCCTTGGATATACTGTGCTCCCTCTGAGTCATTCATGGCCATGATGCCAAAGGCAGGCGCATGTACTGTACAAGATATGGGCTTTTGTTTCCTACCCAGTTTTAAATATCTTGGAGCAGCCATGAGCTATGCAATGATGTAATGCTGTATGTTACCAGCAATAATAATTAAACTTCAGAAGTTTCACAGCTGCTCACTTACCCTACTAACACCACAGTGGAAGGATATTTTGGAGTGTGCATCTGGCAGCCTTGAGTGATAACCATGCATCTGGTAAACATAAATGCACTGCTGTGAGGTGCTAGGAGACATGACCAACTGTCCAGTGGCAAAGAGGATAAATAAAAAGTAAATATAAAAATTTATTAATTTAAATTAACATTTACTATAATACAAAAGACATACATTAAGGCATAATATACAATGATTGTACTGCATGGTGCTACCTATATGAGACTGTATATATATATATATACTGTACTGTATATAGTATAATAAAATGTTATAAAATATAATATGAATTAATCAAGAATATTTAATGTTAACACTTGTTGATATGAAATGCTATTCTTGGCAAATTTGTCAGCATCAAAGCACCTCACCACATCTAATTTAACTAGAAGTGGTACGTTCAATTCACGTCGCCTCCTCGTGCCCTGCTGTGGACAAAATATGAATACTTGTAATACAGTATTTAGACAAATAAATGGCATGTTAAGATCACCAAACAACAGCATTAGCAATAACTTGGTTGAATTTTTTGCCACATTTTACCTTCCAAGATAAAAAAATACCATAGTTATTGTTTGAACAAGAAAATAAGAAACAATATAAGTCAAAAACTAAGAAAAAATTGCCAAAGAACGTGGTCATTATTGTATTCAGGTTTCATCTTCCTATCTTTAAAACTAACTTGGATATTGCCTGGACATGCAAAGAAGAAAGATGAAAACAAACAAATGGTGCAACCACTGAGTACCCCCTATTTTGAGACTCATATTGTCAGAACTCAGAACTTGTAAATGGAAAGAGGGACGGACCACGTATATTCCTAGTTTCCTTGTTAAGAGGTACATTGTGAGACACTCAGTAGTGTTACCACAATTGCAAAGGGCAAAGCCTGAGATATGATGCCATAATGAGCATTAATGCCTTTTTAACATACAATGGATAGCAGTGATCTCCACATTAGAAAACAGTGACTTCTTAACTACCCAGCATGACTAAATAGCTATTTGTAACGTAAATTGAGACGACATCCCTAATTCATTGATGTTAATGCAAAACAACGATGATTTGGGATAGCATTAAATAAGAACTTACTGTATATACGCAGAGTGCTATTTTACCTTTAACTTAATAGGAAGATTTTAGGATACATTCCTGGGGGCATCTTATCAAAAATTTCAGAAAGATGTAAAAGAGTCATCATCATCATCATCATGATGGATAAACACCCAACTATCATACTATTATCCATCACCTTATCTCTGCTGTTTGTTATTTTAGCAGGACATGATGGGGCCACACAGTCAGCACCTTATATTTTATCAGTATTATCGTGCATTGTTGTCACCATAACATATGTTAGCCCAAATACCCTGTTGATGCGCACAGCTTCTCCTTCATTAAACCACAATGTTGCATAATTTTTATCCGTAAATTAAATATTTTCGTAGTTTTCTGTGACACAGAGGCAACATCACTTGCCGGGTATTATGCACTCACGTTTGCAGAATTTTGCTTAGGGGTAAGAGATGAAAACTCGTTCTGTAATAAATCCACAAATTAACCAATATGGCATCGACGTCAACACCGATGTGAAAGTATATGGCAGAGTGAGAGGTCTTTTGTTAAATCTCTGTAAATATAGATACAGTACAGTACCTTCATATTAAATAATAAACAAGGTTTAGAACATTGACACCATATACATTTACCAGATGACTGCTGCTCACTTAAACTCTGTTACAAATTAACAATCAAAATTTAATTTCAGCAAATAATCCCACAATCACTTCCTATACTCTGTGTTCCACTTTCAAATTTAATAAAAAAAAAATATTTTTTTAATTTGTTATTCATTATTCAATACTGTACAGGTAAACCTCGATAAACGATGGGGTTAGGTTCCTTAAAAACCCATCGCTGAGTGAAATATCATAGATACGGAGCATTATAACAAGGGGTTCAATGGGATATGTTCCCAGCCAGTCCCCAAACACACGTTTATCACCGACAAAAAAAATTCCTACAATACTACTATCACGACTAAACAATACACAACGCATCATAATGAACAAGTCTGGTCATCATCACAGTCGAGCTTCACCTCAGAGACACAGTTGTGTTGGATGCCTTGGCCTTCCCAGATGTTTTCAAAGTGACACTGCTTACTTCACAGTCACAAAAACAGAGCAAAAGCACTTGTCACAAAAGCAGAACGAACGATGATAACAAAAATAATGGAAGCAGCCGACAACAGAGGTTAAGCACCTTATAGTCACAAAAACACAGAATTATCACTTCACAGTCATCATAACACAGTTCAATCTAAGCATAAGTGCTGTCCTTCTCACTATAAGAAAAAATCCCACTAATAATAAGTACAATGTATGATGCTGACCAATAATCATGGACCAATGCGATGGCTGATTTACGATTGGCAAAAAGCCAAGCAGAGGGTTGTAGTGCGTGGGTTGGCCGTGTGGCGGCTCGTGGGTGGGCTGACAAGTGAAGGTAGAGATGCGTGGTGCTATTGGGTTAAATATTGTTTGCTTATAAAATGTCACTGACTTGACGTAGAAAAATATAATTTGTATGCTGTAATCCTTGGAAGACGGTGATTAATTTGAGCACATACAACCTATAGTTCGTAGTAGAGATAAAATATAATTCAACCAATGGATTACAATGGATATTCGATGGATATCACTAAAGCTAATTTTTTTTTTTTTATCATATATAGCGAGA